ATCTTTACACTTGCTGGCACCCAGATACCATCCATCACCGAGAAGCCGGTGAAGAGCCTGGGGAAAGTTTTCAACTGCAGCCTGAGAGACACAGCAGCCATCAACGCGACCAATCAAGATCTGGAGGCTTGGCTAGGTACGGTGGACAAATCAGGTCTACCTGGCAAGTTCAAGGCCTGGGTGTACCAACATGGCATCCTTCCAAGGATTCTCTGGCCCCTCCTTGTGTATGAGGTCCCAATCTCCACAGTTGAGGGCTTTGAAAGGAGAGTCAGCAGGTTCCTGCGGAAGTGGCTGGGTGTACCGCGGAGCCTGAGCAGCATCGCCCTATACGGAAAGAACAACATGCTGAAGCTCCCCTTCAGCAGCCTGAATGAGGAATTCAAGGTGAGCCGAACTAGGGAGGTGCTGCAATACAGAGAGTCATGTGACCCAAAAGTCTCTCAGGCTGGTATCGAGGTCCGGACGGGGCGGAAGTGGAGGGCGGCAGAGGCTGTGGAAGTGGCAGAGTCACGGCTGCGGCACAGGACTCTGGTGGGGACAGTGGCTCCGGGAAGAGCAGGCCTTGGTAGCAGCACAACACCTTGCTACGGGAAGTCAAAGGAGAAGAAGAGGAGGAGGCTGCTCCAGGAAGAAGTGCGGGCAGCAGTGGAAGAAGAGCGGTCCGGCAGGGTGCTTGGAATGCGGCAGCAGGGAGCCTGGACGCGATGGGAGCAAGCAGCAGAGCGCAAAGTCACGTGGACTGAGCTGTGGAAAGCCGAGCCCCAGCGCATAAAATTCCTGATCCATGCTGTATATGACGTATTGCCAAGCCCGTCTAACCTGTTCTGTTGGGGGAAGGTGGAGTCACCAGCATGTGCCCTGTGCCAGAAGAGAGGGACCCTGGAGCACATCATGAGCTGCTGTCAGAGGAGCCTGAGTGAGGGGCGCTATCGCTGGCGTCATGACCAGGTCTTTAAGGCCATAGCAAACTCCATCTGCAGTGGAATAGCCCACTGCAAGCGCCTCCGCCCAGCGAAGAAGGCTATCTCCTTCATCAGAGCTGGAGAAGGACCACCAGCTGTTGCCAGGGTCTCTTCCTCTGGCCTGCTCACAATGGCACAGGATTGGGAGCTGATGGCAGACTTGGGGAAACAACTGAAGTTCCCAGAAAATGTGGCCATAACATCACTAAGGCCAGACGTGGTGCTGACCTCAGCAACATCGAAGCAGGTTGTGCTTCTGGAGCTCACGGTCCCTTGGGAAGACCGCATCGAGGAGGCCAACGAGAGAAAGAGGGCTAAGTACAGCGATCTGGTGGAGCAGTGTCGGCTCAATGGGTGGCGAGCAAGGTGCGAGCCTATTGAGGTGGGATGCAGAGGGTTTGCTGGCCAGTCCCTCTGCAGGGTGTACAGCATGCTGGGCATCACAGGGGCCAGCAAGCGAAGGGCCATCAAGGAGGCCACAGAGGCAGCAGAGGTTGCCTCGCGGTGGTTGTGGATCAGGAGAGGAGATCCGTGGGTAGGGTAGCGCTACCTGGACACAAGCTGGGGTCTGATCAACCCTGGCTGGGTCGCCTGGAGGAGAGTGTATGATGTTTGAAAGACCCGAAACACTCTATGATACCAGGTAATATCACTGATGATGTGTCCAGGTTGCATCACTTGTTGATGTATGTACAAAGCAAAGTAATTGCCATAACAATGTCATCAATACATGTATATTACATGAACATCATCAATTTAGCAATGTAAGCACATCTGTATTATTATGCTCCATTAATACATAAATTTTGTTAAGCTGAATTTTTATGTCATATTATATGATTTATAGACTTCATAATGACTAATGTGATGTGCCTATTTTTTTTTCTTAAATTACAGTGATCTACTGATGCAATAAAGCAGCAGGTGTGTGTCCAAGTAATATATTTATATTCATCTTTATGTTAAAAGTTTTAAGCGCCCCTCAAAATGAGTAAATCATTGTTGATTGATGCTGTAGCGCACGTATTGTTTACATTGTGACAGGGCAAATAGCTTCCAGATGCTACTCCCTAGTTAGCATCTGGAACTTTTATTCAAAGAGAATAAATCAAATAAGATGATATCTTAGTTTAGATTAGATTAGATGAGCTTTATTGATCTCACAGCGGAGAAATTAACTGGTCACATATTGGCATAATAATTAAAGAAGGTGCAAACAAGGAGGAAAAAGGTGCATTAAGAATAAGCAATATATATATACAGTATATCCAGGTATATACAGTATATCAAGATAATAAGGATTAAGGTGCAAGTGTACATGTATCACACACAATGAAAAACAAAATAAAAATAAGAAATAAAAAATAAATAAATAAAAAATACAAGGGAGTAGCACAGAGATTTGAGGTGACATATGTACAATCAGGATGGCTTATATACATGAGTTTAGTTGAAACTTAAAGGTAAATCAAATACAAAAATGTTCTGTAAATGCATGAATTTGAGACCAATATTGCTGGATGGTTTGACGGCTCCAGAAAATATGGAAGTGATTGGCACCATCCCTGCCACATCTCCAGCAGGTGTCTCCATTTCCCTCATATCTTTTTTGCTTTGGAGATTTTTGATGAGTTAACAAAATGTTTGCTGACTTAATAAGGGACCAAAAGTACCAAGAGTTCTGTTTTTAATACATTTAGATGATCAGCTTTTTAATTAAATCTTTTTAATCTCATTATCCCAATAAAATACAGATCTTTACAGGAAGGTGAAAATATCGTCTTATTAATAAAGGTTAAAATAAGGGTTGTCAGTTAAAAGGCCTCTCTGCTGCACTCTGCTGGTCAAAGAGCAAAAGTGCAGGTTAGGAAGCAGCATTATTCACAACAGATATTGATGAAAATTGAGAACTTGCCCCCCCACACACACACCCTACCAGGTGGCTTTCTCTCGTGTAAAGCCAAAATGTTTCATAGTCTTTAATTGAAGAAAAAGCTTTAACTATAATGGAGCAACCAATATTAGACTTCTTGGTTTGTTATGGCAGGGTTTCACAAGCTTTTTTGGGCATTTTGTCGTACCATGAGTAGCCTACCCCTCTCAGTCCAAAGTATTGATGATTGTCTAAAGTGGAAGGTACAATAACTGATTATAAAACAAAAACTAGTTTACTTCATATTTCAACCTGAAAATTGAATTATAAGAAATTGCATTCGTTTCACCTAAAATAACAAAACAGCATAAATATGTTGCCTAAAAGTTAGACGCAGGCAATCCGAAAAGTATGAATTAAAATCATATTAAAAATCTGTATTTTAAAACTGGAGCTCCTCTGAGTAACTATCCTATAATCACATTTAAACTCGATGAATTTGGAAGAAAATTCAGAACAATAATCATAGTCAGAATGACTTCATTAGTTGTTTTCATTAAGACACCTGAGCTGCTTTGATGAGCTCCAATAGCTCAGTGTGAAAAACAGCCGATCCCAGGCTGTTCTCCACATCCGGTCTATTTTTCTGCCTCATTTTGGTTAGTTCAAACAGAAAAGAAAAAAATTTTGTTGATAAAAAAAGTGTTTAATTTTTCTATTGGGTCCTGAATGAATGAAAACAGATTCCAATTTTATTTTATGACCTAAGAAATAAAATATTTTCATGAACCCTTTCCAATGCACTGGCGGAGCACTAGGGGTACACGTTCCCCCAGTTGGGAATCTCTGTGCTATGGTGCAAACAGTCAGTCATTGTTTGATGTGGGATCCCTTTATGCATCAAAAAAATAAAATAAAATACAGAAAGAATCCCCTGAAGAAGATTTCCAGAAACACTTCAGAAGAAGCTGCCAGTTTTGTAAACAAACAATTAGGCCATGTCATCCCCAACTTTTAGCTACTTTTTGTTGGTTAAACCTAACCTTAACCTAGCTTTAAACATTGATAAACAGCCTGTGTAGTGCTGATAAGATTTGTATCAATGTAGCAAGAAATGCTGCTGTTCTCTTTAAACAAAATTTGCCCTGATGCTCACATTAAGCATAAAAAAGAGCATGCATATTTTTGCATAGGACAAATGACATCAGACCAATGAAACTGAAGACCAATGGTGTCCCTACCAAAGTTGAAATCAAACCTATGCCCTTGGTATTGAATGCCATTCTCAAGTTTCAAAAGATGCACCCAGAAACTTGTTTCCTTTATCTTTGCTTCTTACTGCGCCTTTCACAGTCTGCAAAACTGGCATCTCCTTAGCAGCCAACCAAAAAGGCCAGAAGCTGTTGGGAATCATCTAATCAGCCACCATGATAGGACAAACCCCGCTCTCCAAACTGGGGATTTGTTCTTGAATGTGGTGAAATTAGAAAATCTTTCAGGGCCACCTGTATCTACATTACCAGCACAGCCTGCTGCTGGAAAAGATCTAGATTAAAAGTTTAAACAATTCACCAGTTAAGATGTTTCCCACATCTGGTGCTGCATCCGGTGAGTTTTTACTGGGTTAATCAAAAAAATCCTACTTTAACGACAAAAACGTAAATTTAATTTGATGACTCTAAACAGAATATTTTATAATTATAATCTGAAAAAACGACAGTCTAGCAATCCTGTTTTAGTTTGTTTAAATGTAGATTTGAGTTAAACATAGGCTAGTACAATTCTGCATGGTTTGTAAGATTAAGGCTGAAGCTCCACTTTTGTTTTTGATCGGGTGTAATGTTAAAAGTTTATTGTTTATTTTACAAAACAATCATATTGAAAAATGTTTGAAGTATTGTAATTCCCAGTTTGGTCAATAGATGGCAGCAGATCACATATTATAATCGAATATGAAAATTGATTTTTTTTTCCCCCCTTTTTGTTAAAAAGGATAACATTTAGTCTCGAGACGTAATTCAAAGACCTTTTAGTGGGTCGATCATCTCAAGAAGGCTGTTCTTCTATATCCTCTGCCCCCCCACCCAGCTGTAATCAGAATAATTAGACTCCCATGATCCGCCCTCTGACTGTCCACCGCTGTTCCAACCAGACAAAGCTTTCATTCGCGTTTTCCCAGTGATGGAGCAATGAGAATACCGACACTGGATTATTCCCTGGTGGAACTGTTTCCTTGAATCATTTTTTTTCTTTTCTTTTTTTACCTCCAAAATCTTTTTTCTTTTTATTTTCTTTTCTCCCACCTGTTTGCTGCAATGCTGCGGGTCATAGTAGAGTCAGCCAAGGGTCTCCCCAAAAAGACTCTGGGTACTCCTGACCCAATTGTTTCTGTGATTTTCAAAGGTATGTTACGTTTCAAAGCTAACCTTCATTTCTTAGACTGAAGTTAAGCCCTATATTTGGTTTGAAGAAAGTTCTTTGGAATCTGTTGTTTTTTTTTTTCATTTCATCCTGGAGTGCTGAGCATGACGTGTTTTTTCACTAAAAAGTTGGAAACGATCATGTGGTTTAAAGCAATTGTTTAAAGCAAAATAAGAAGGAAAAAAAAGTTTTTCTTTAGTTTGAATTGTAGTTGTAGGATTTTAATTTAATGGGCATAGATAGTTGGGGAGAGCCTGATTTCATCCACAGGAACAGAGAAACAAAACCTGCAAAACCTGAGAAATATCAGTTTTTAATTAGATATATTTTAGTCTACAGCTACCTAACTAGACTAACTGTAATGAGTAAATCCAGACTAGGTTCTAGTAAAGTTGACAATTCCTGTGTTAACTTCATCAGTTCTTTTAATGATGTTGGACTTCATGTATTCATAAGGAAATCCTTTTCTTCCAGATGAGAAGAAGAAAACCAAATCCATTGACAGCGAGGTGAACCCTGTCTGGAATGAGGTAATCAATGCAACTTGTTATTCCTTCAAGTCAACATGGTTACTGCGATGATGTCAAACCCCCAAAAGATTTCAGATAGCAGGAGCAGTGTTTACAGTTCATTTATCAGCTGAACCTCTTGTGTATGTCTCTCCCTTCAGGTTCTTGAGTTTGATCTAAAAGGTGTTCCACTGGACCCTGGCTCCCAGCTAGACATTGTTGTGAAAGACCGGGAGACGATTGGGAAAGATAAGTAAGTTAAATACAGCCTGAAGGCTGTTTGGTTTACACAATAAAGGGATTTCAGTAATAAGGTAGTTGGGAGGAACCCTACCTTCATAATTCCTATCCTGAACCGTCCTGAGTGAGAACTGAGTTTGTAGAAAACCCTTTGTTTTTTAGTTGCAGAATGGATCAGTTTTTGAATCACAAATTAACATATGTACTAGAGTACATAAAATCCTTGAAATGACTGAGATATAATTCTGGTTGTCTCCACTCACGCCCTTCTCACCATGCTGAGACTTGCTGGACTGTGTGGGATGAGAGAATCTGATTGGCTAACAATGACTCCCTCTTAGTCCCTGTCTCTGTGTTGGATTTATGTACAGAACATTGGAAATTCCTTATGCAAATGAGGCCAAACTTCTCTACTATGAGCCTCTACTATTAAACAGCCACCTAAAACTCAGCTTTAATTAAAGCCACATGTGGTACCAATCTGTGCCAACCAGAAAAGAATGTTTCCATCCTCCCTAAATGCCTCTAATTTTAGAGATCAAAGCCATCTTGTATTAAAAAAAAAAAAACTTGCAGCGTAAGATAATCTTTTTGTAGATATAGAATATGTAAATGTATATCCAAATTTTTTCTGTGCTGTGTAAAAGTTTCCCTTGTGTTTGGGCAGTCATGTTGAGGGAGGTGCATATCCAGAGCATGAGACCATATTAGGTTGAGCAACGTTTTCCACTGGGCTGTCCTTCTCTCTGCCACACTGCCAGATGATTAAACATTACTGGTAGAAAGCTGGAATAGTTCTCCAGCGGTTGTAATTAGTTATTTCCTGTTATCATAGCAACAGCTAAGTCTTGATAACTATTTTTATAAAGTCCTGTAGTTTGGAACTTAAATTCCTTCTTTGTTTTAAAAGTAACTTTTATTTTTATTACCTCTCCACTGGGACTCTGTGGTGTTGGGAATTGACATACCAGCTGCCTTTTTGGGGCTTAGGAATCTAGCAACTTCACAAGCAGCATGTCAGAGCAGGAATATTTAGAAAAATTAAGTTGCCAAAAATTGTGGGATAAAAAATCACTTTAATCCTATCCGTTTTTTTTAAATACTTAAAAAAAAAATTGGTTTAAAAATGGAAAAAATGGTGTGTGGTGTCTATGTTTATGCATTTAGCAGACGCCTTTATCCAAAGCAACTTACAAAGTAGACACAATTTTACAGTTATCACCAAAATTGACAGTAATTTCTCTAGAGGAATATCTAGAGAGCTAAAGCAGAAGCCAGGAACGATTTACAGTTAGTGACCAGGAGTCCTTTGTGCGGGATAGTCTGTATGCCCCCCCCCCCCCCCCCCCCCCCCCCACTGTCCCAATCAAACTCCTGCATTTGACTGGGTCATTTGGAAGGAAGCAGAACCACATTCCTTGTCACGGAGCTGCACGTCATTGCTAACCCCAAGCATGATGCTCTTAACAAAAAAAGGGCAAAGCATTTTATTACAAAAAAGGATGGAAACTACATTTAGAGAAAAGGAAACGCAGAATCAACAAAGACTGTGAAACATTTATAACTTGGTAAAGCCAGTGACAGGTGATTCTCAGAGGGGAACGCAATAAAAAGCAACACAATGAGTGGGAAGAGAAAAGCACCCAGACATCCTTTTTATCACACATCTAGTCAGCCTAGCTAGTCAGTTCTGGAATTATTTATTGGTGAAAAAGATTCAAAATGCACTTTTTGCAGTTCTGCTTTGTAAATAAAAACACTTTAAACTCCTGAAGTTCAATGTAATTTATTTATATAGCACCATTTCCCAACTCTTGTCATCTCCAGGCACTTTAGAGAGACAGTTCAACCAGATCATGCAGTCAGATTGATTCAAAGTTTCTATCAGGAAAAAAAAACAGCTGATTGCATTGACTTATTGAGTTGCTGGTCACGTTCCTCCTGGATGCGGAGATTATATTCACTTGCATTTTGTTGTTGACTCTTCAGTAATGCCTCACACTGAGCATGCATGTAATAATAATGGACTTTATTTGTCTTGTATTAGAGAACTTTACCTCTGCATTTAACCCATCCCCTTGGTGAGCAGTGGGCTGCTATGGTGGGGTTTCCGGGGAGCAGTGTGAGGTTAAGGGTGTTGCTCATAGAACCAGAGTGGGGGAGTCAGGTTTGAACTCAGAACCTCAGGATTCAAAGTTCTATGCCATAACCACTTAAACCCCCCCCCCCCCCCCCCCCACCTTCCCAGGTGACTCTGTCTAGGAAAAAAGCAGATGATCTTGGAGCCAGTTCCCATTTCAAAGGATGAAAGAGATGCAGTTAATCACTGTAAAAGAAACAAGAGTCTACTAAAAAACTGGCCACGCTCCAACATTTATAAACAAAGGTGTTGATGGCAGCAGCACAGCTGATATTTCTCTCCAGGATGGAGTCACAGCCAAACAGGAACAGACCAGATGAAGCTACTATGAGAAAAAGCAGAGAGAGCAGAACGTTAGAGATTGAACTAAGAAATATTGCAGAGATAGAATGATGTGGTCCCGAAACTTACTGCAGCATAAATGTAAAAATTGCTTAGAATAACCTCATCATTTGGATAAGGTATGAGTAAGGTAGAGCCAAGGAGAAACGTCCGTCTGGACTGAATTTTCCAATGCTGGTTGGGCTGGTCATCGTTTTTTCTCCCACTTCTCTACTGACCCAGCAACTCAGCAAACATCACTGTGTTTCTAACTATCAGCTTCCACAAAAAAAGGAACGTTTAAGCCTACCCTTAAAAGTAGATGGGGTGTCTGCCTTAGCCTGATAACTAAAAGATCTGCCTCCCATTCTACTTTTAGAAATTCTAGGAAGCACTAGTAAACCTGCAGATTGAGAGCGAAGTGCTCTGTTAGGAACATAAGGAACAATCAGATCTCTGATATCAGATGGAGCTTGGCCATTTAAGGCTTTATATGTGAGAAGGAGGATTTTAAATTCTATTCTGGATTTAACAGGAAGCCAATGAAGAGAAGCCAGGATAGGAGAGATATGATCTCTCTTTTTCATTTTCATCAGAACTCTGGCTGCAGCATTTTGGATCAGCTGAAGGCTTTTAACTACAGCTTGTGGACTTCCTGATAGTAAAGAATTACAATAGTCCAGCCTTGAAGTAACAAATGCATGGACTAGCTTCTCAGAATCAACCCTTGAACAGAATATATCAAATTTTTATATCATTGAGACGAAAGTGGGAAATTCTAGAAACTTCTTTGATTAGATCAGAATAATACTGAGAGGTTTTGATTTATTATCTGAGACGGAAAGCACCGATGCTGGACCAGGGTCTGTCACTGCCCAGCACTGGTGCTTTCTGCAGGGGGTAGATTTACAAGCCGCCAAATCCGAACATCATCCAGACGCAGTTCTGGATGAACCAAAGTGGACTCTTTTTTTGTTCAGTCCTTTTTGGCTTTTCCAAAAAATGATAATCTCCCCAAAGCAATTCAAAAGTTGTTCATAAACCGCAGTGTGATTGGCTGACATGTTTTAAATTAGTCAGCTGGAGCAGTGAACAAACAAATCCTGCAAACTCAGCCTGCAGACAATATGAGCAATGTCATGAGGTCATTTTTTTAATCCATAAAACCATTATTATTAAATATGAATTATAACCTTTTTTTATATGATGTAGGAAGGTGGAGTACCTGGTGAGAAACCATAAATGCATAGAGAAAATATATAAATGGATTGACTATATGTTCCAGAAAAGTTAAAAAACAAACCGCTGCACTTTATTTTCCAAGTTTGAAGACATTTCACTTCCCATCCAGGAAGCTTTTTCAATTCAGAATGTCTAAATTAGCGTCGAGTTCCAAGTAGCACAAATATGCCTTGTTTTTGCTTAGAAACATGCAAATTGAACCGGAAGAACAGGTCCGCCCCTTAGTAAAGGGGAGTCATTAGGGACATTGTTGGTCTGGCTGACCATGTTTAGATGTCTTCTCCCCTGCATGGCAATGAGAATTATGATCGCAAAGGGATCAACTCTATTGCTCAATTGTTGCTTTTGAGAGTTGAAATCTGAATCCACCCCTGTTTACTGTTGGTTTTTCTCTCTTAACATAAACATCTCTCTTCAAACCCTTTTCAAACCACCTGTCTTCTTTATCCAAAATGTTAATGTTCTAGTTCTTTGTCCAAAAGGTGTAGATGTACCGCCGAGTCTTGTCCAGAGGAGGTAGCTCTCCTGTGTTGAGCGATGCGTTTGTGGAGAGGTTGTTTGGTTTCTCCAGTATAAAGATCAGAGCATTCCTCACTACATTGAACTGCATATAGCACTCTGCTCATCTAAGGTCTGGGGTTTTATCTTTAGGATGCACTAGTCCCTGACTTAGGGTCTTATTTGGTTTGAAATTTACTGGGATTTTGTGTTTTGAGAAAATCCTCTTGAATTTTTCAGAGACTCCAGCAACATATGGGATGGCGATGTATTTTAATCTTCTCACTGTTATGTTCTGCTGTGGATTTCCTTGCTGATTTGACAAATGCCCAGTTTGGGTATCAACAGGTTTTAAGAGCATCTTTGATGTGTTTTTCTTTGTGCCTCCCCATAAAGCTTGGAACTCAAAGCTAGTTCTGACATTTTGAATTGAAAAAGCTTCCTGGACTAGAGGCGAAAAGTGTTCAAACTTGGAAAACAAAGTCCAGTGGTTTGTTTTTCAACATTTTTGGAATGACTATGACCAAGATGGCTGAGAATCTTCACCAGCGATTGACTATATGGTTCCCCTGGTGATTAGATACAATTTATTTCTATGGAAGATGGTGGAAAGAGAGAAGGCAACAAGTGGAGGCAGTTTTTAACAATAAATTAAATGGAGACACTGAGTATCGAGCAGCATGTAGCAGAACAGAGAAGATACTCATTTTTTTTATTATGCCATTAAAAGTCCAGCAGCGAGGAAAATTTGGTCTTTAGGCCATAAATGGAATGTGTGTGTGTGTGTGTCTGAGGGGGGGGGTCATATACGG